GTTCACAGGAAGAGGCTTGAAGGCAAAGAAGAAAACAATTTAATTGCTTTGAGATCTCGGCAACAGAAAACACTTTAAAGTGACAGACGACGAGTACAGCTTCATATACAGCCGGCTCTAATGATGCGCCGATTCAGGAGGAACTGATTTTCTTTCTTTTTTCTTGTTGTTCTCTGGCAGTTGACAGAAAACAAGATCTCATTTTGTTTGTAATACAGACAGTTCCAACATCTGTCTTAATGGGTAAAAATCTTTAAACGACGTCTGGTTTTTACAATGCGTCGCTCTACGGGAGAGACAAACAATGAAGGAGCTGAAGAATGACCCAACGAATCCAGATCTGAGAGATCGCGTAGCATCCTCCTCCAACATTTCATTAATTAGTCACACTTGTCTAAAGTGGTTTAAGAAGTGCACTTTGTCACCATGTCGGGTAAACCTAGAAGCGTGCAACGCCCGTGGAAGAATCACGGCAGAAGCCCGCCAACTCGCTCACTGATGTGTCATTTACGAGCTCACCTCCGCAGTGCTTTTCTTAGCGCGGTGGCAGCTTCAACAACGCGCCTCTCAGGAGTCTTCACATCTCTGCTCTCTGGCCTCGCTCCTCTTTCATCTCATCCTCCCCGATACTTGCCGGAGATACAAAGACTGCCTTCTGGCTAATAAGATTTGACAAGCGTAGCTAACCTTTTTTCTCCACAGGTCGGGCCTGTAGAGGAGCTCTAATCAAATGTGACGCTCGTCAGCGTACGCACCTGCCGCTGAAGGCCTAATGAAAATGTCTGACGGTAAATTAGGGAGAGTGCTGGAAGTCCACCGACGAGGGTTGTGACGGAAAGGGCGGAGCCCTGACCGGCTTTAAAAAGAGATAAAACTATGGGAACTGACGATGCATGCAGTGATGCGGTTGTTTCTGTGCATATGTAGATTTACAGTACGCGCGTTGTATTCCTCATGCTTTCAGAGCACTGTTGCTAGGTTACAGCGGCCTTCCAACCTGATTTATTACATGTTGTTGGCATGGTGTCTATTTCTGATCATGTGCGAAAACGTATCAGTGTGTGCCTGAAAGAAAGGGCGCCCACCATCCTGTTGAGCTTGTACGGATGGACTTTGTAAAAGAGAACCTGCAGACGCCGGCAGTGGAGGAACAAAAGCAGCAAACGGCAGAAGACACTTGCGTCAATGGCACCCACAAGACAATACGGATGTCTTGGTTTTATGTTGTGTAGGTCTGGTTTTTGGGAAAGGTTCCGTTCCAAAAACATGGCAGCATTGGGTACAAATAACTAACAGCAAGAACTCTAGCAAGTCCAAACCTAATTCAAGCCCTCCTCACTCATCGGCGTTCCTTAGATCCACTTATTACATTTTTAAGGATTTGGTCTGTAAAGGCTCCACAATGTTCAGAAAGTTCTTACAAATCAAAAACGTCGTCCAAGTTAAAAGACGTACATGTCGAGAGTTTTAGACTAAGGTCATATGACGCTGAGAAGTGACAGGGTTTTGTGTTTTCTGTTGGCTGTAGCGGCCATCTTTAATCTTAAATCTATTTGGCTATTCTGATACTCGGCTCTCGGAGTAGCCAGTTATGTTAATAATTAATACTGAAGTGGTCCATTGCAATGTTAATACCGTCAACATCTGGAGACAAGTTTCTCACTCAAAATTAGGTCCTTATTGTTTGAGTTAAGTATCAAAGTTGTATTAGCATCTTGAATCGACACATACAGGGCTATAAATCGATCAGTTTGACAGATATTCAGCTAAAGTTTGGTGTGGTAGTAGCTGAGAGACACCAAAAAGCACATCAAGTGCTAACTCACTTCAAGGAATTCAGATTGTCCACAAGATTATTTTCAAAGTTAACCCAAATAACAACCAATACAGAGGGTGTTGGAACACCTATGTCTCTCGTGGGTGAGGGATTGGAAAAGTGAATGTTTGTAGTTTTGGAGATGAGTGTTTTTATTTCTGGACTGGAACTGAACAGAGAATGAAGTAAGCCTAAATGTTTTTGGTGCAAGATGTTCAAGTGGATGAGTTACACTGTGGAGAAAAACAGAGGGAGTTTTTACGCCGAGTGAAGGATCCTAGCGAATGGGGGGGGGACCATTTTATCCACCACCAGGTGCAATGGCAGAGCAAGTGGGTGGCCAGTGGTGGCACTGATCACCATAGATTAATCTTTGGACACCCCAAGGGCCCCCTACTTTTAAGCAATATAAAAACGAGAAAGCACGGTTTCCTCAAATGACCAGGCGGCTTGTTTATGTATAAAAATGGTGGTGGCCATCTTTGATTTGGACAAACCCAATTTTCATTGGGGACCTTTCCGTGAATGGGGTGTGGTGGCGCAGAGGTTAGAGAAAGTGGACCTGTGATTGGAAGGTCGCCGGTTCGACTCCCCCGACAGTCAACATCAAAATGTAGGTGGAAAAGATGGAACACCTACACCTGCCTCCACCATCATTCGCCCCACTCTGGGCCCCTGAGCAAGGCCCTTAACCTCCACCATCTGCTCCCTAAACAGGTCTCTCTTGAAAATGAGTTCTCGTAGCTCACTGAGACTACCTGGATAAATAAAGGGTAAATAAAATAAATAAATATCCAACCCCCTCTCCACTCCTACCACAACTTATTTAAACAACACCTTTACCAATGAGATTATTAAAGATCATTGCCCTCAAAGACACGCTTATAAGCTAAAGAGGTTCCTCCTCCATCACGGTAACGCCTCTCGTACAAACATGTAGTCAAACGGGCGAAATAGACGAGCGACGCATCCATTGTGTTGTAGATTCAGAAGGAGGGAAAGTCTGAGGGAGAAGACGGAGGACAGGGAGAAAACAGGCTGGTAATGAAGTACCCACCACTAGTGGATGAGAGCTAAAGTGGTCTAACAGATCTGTCAGGCTGCTAGACGGTGGCTAATTATCCCCCCTCCTCTTCATGTGCATCAACTCTTCTGTCACTTCTCTCCGGTTTTCTCTGCCTTACATTTTATTTTCTCTCCACTTTTGGCTCCGGCTCCCTTCGTTTTCTCTCCAACGTTCTCTTGTCTCTCTTTCCCTCCCGTCTGTTGCTTCTCTCCATTCCCATCTGTCTCCTCTCCATGTCCAACCCTTCTCTTTTCCCGAATCGTCTATTTCTGGATGAGATTGGGTGTCTTGGGGGGGGGGGGGGGGGGGGCTTAGCGTTTGATTTGCAAGTCAATAATTTCTGTCAGAGACTTTAAGTTGAGGGAAGTTTTAATGTGGCTCATATTATTTCGCACAGGAAATTATGAATTTGCATTAGAATCCTCCGCAGATTTGCTCGTTTTTCTTCGTCTCACAGACAAAAGTAGCTGCAAGTTAAGCTTTCAGAGGTTTCAGATGGAGCACTGAAGCCTTCGTTGGACTTAAAATGAACTGCTCTGACATCTGAATATTGTTATATAGAATACATTTTTCTCAAAGTCAAAACATTTATTATTTAAGTACTTTAAAACGCTCCAATATGCGTGTTTCTACCATTGCTAAAAAAGCTACATTTAAGAACTAAACCCTAAACTTAACTAGAGAAAATGCGTGTCCTGTGAAAATGCAGTGTGAATGCTTATTGCAGAAGAACTTGCTGAAAAACAGCTGAAATTAGCTAAAAACATGCTGAAATGTAGCTGACATGAAGAACTAGCCTAAAGTAGCAGAAGAAAGAAAGAACATTTATTTGCTCTCTTAGATAGGCACAAAAATTAGGAAATAAGCTAAAAATAAAAAAAAGGCTGAATTTAGCAAAAAAAAAAAAAAAGCTGAAAACGCAGAAAGAAGCTTAAACTACCAGAATGAGGCGGAAAGAGCAGAAATTTGTTCAAAAAAGGTGGAATCTGCTGAAAAAGCACAAAACAGCTAAATAGTAGCTGGAATAAGGCGAGTTCATAAAAGCAATACTATACCGGATCGGTCGAGGCCCGGGTTAACAACGACCGACACCGGTGCCGTTGACAAACATGGCGCCGGCAGAAATTGTGCTACAGTTAGTCGAAGACCACGAGGAGGGAAACGTGTCAGGAGACAGAGGGAGAAGAGGAAATTCAAGAATTGTTGAAATAGAACAAAAACTGTTAAAAAATGATTAACGACCGTGAGTCGAATCATCGAGAGCGACTTGTTACGGCGACAAATTAGGAGATTTTTCTTTCTTTGAAACGTCTTCTGGAAACAGCATCTGTTAGTCTTTCATAAAGTGCCTCACCTTAAATATATCAGTTTATTCACCCGTTTGTTTTACAAAGTAAATGCGGTACAAACAGTACTCAGGATTTTATATGCAGTTAAGACGTAAAAACAACCGAAACACATTATTCACGGTCTGTCGCCAAAAGATGAAAGGGGGACGATAATGTTTTTACAGGGGTTTGTGTGGCTGTTCTGTTAGAAAAATATCTCGTGAACCACTGGACGAACTTTAACTACGTCGACAACTGATTATCTTTTGTTGGAGACAAGTCTAACACACACAGGATAGTGGTCCTCAAGGACTAGAACTGAACACCCCTGATCAAGAACATGTGATTGGACACCCCTGATCAAGAACATGTGATTGAACACCCCTGATCAAGAACATGCAGGATAGTGGCTATCAGGAACCAGGATTGAACATCTCTGATCCAAGGACATGTGATTGAACATCTCTGATTAAAGACATGAAGGATAGTGGCTCTCAATGAACAGGATTGAACACCCCTGATCTAGGACATGCAGGATAGTGGCCCTCAAGGATCAGGACTGAACATCTCTGATGTAAGGCATGCAGGATAGTGGTCCTCAAGGACTAGAACTGAACACCCCTGATTTTAGACATGAAGGATAGTGGCTCTTGATGAACAGAACACCCCTGATCTAGGACATGCAGGATAGTGGCCCTCCAGGACCAGGACTGGACACCCCAGACTTTTAGGTTACCTCAGAAGAAAGAAAAAAACAACAGCAGAAAGTTGTGATGTATCCCACGCTCACCTCTCTGCCTGTGGCAGGTTCTGCGAACCTGGTGGTGGTCTGAACTTGTTCACCTTGGCGTAGAGTCCTTCTATGTCACTGGGGGGTGCCTGAGGCAGGTTTTGCCCTCCTGAAGGCAATGCCGGCGAGGGTGTGCGACTGGGGGACAGCGGAGAGGGGGGCTGGCGGAACTTGCCGATGCGAGCGTAGTGGGGGTCGCTGTCGTCATCTTCCACATCGGGTAGGGAGTTCCGGTCCGGGGTGGTGTAGCCAGAGTGGATCTCCTGGTAACGTGGGTCGTAGCTGTCGAGGGGTGAGTCTGTTATTCATGAGGCAACATAACCAGTATCCTTGACCTCGGTCTTTACAAAAACACAAATCCATTTCCTTCACCTGTCTCTGCTGTCAGGGACACGGTCCAGCTCCTCCTCGCTCAGGACATCCAGTTTGTTCTTTGATCCTTTGCTTTTGTCGTCTTTCTTCTTACCGAACCTGGACGACACAATCCAGACATGTAAGAGAATTAATTTGAGGTGAGAAGCGGCGCGGGCCTGAGGTATAAAACACTGCAACCATCTAAAGCAACAATTTAACAGAAAATATGTAGACGTTTAAAAGAGGTTAAGAAGTTTTGGAAAAGTTAATGTAGTGTTTGGCTGTGCTTGATTAAAAAAAATTATAATCTTCTGATGTGTTTTGATACAGATTGTTTGCTTTGAAATATAACAAAATTATGAAGAAAAAAAAGGTTATGTTTGTTAAAGACGTTCATTTATTAACTTCTGAAATGACTTCTGTTGTGAATTGGCGCTATATAAATAAACTAAATTGAAAACTGAATTCATTTTTATATTTTTATAGGCTGCTTTCGAACGTGTGCACATAAAATATGCATTCATGTGTTTGTTAGCAAAATACCACAAGAATAAACATGGCTGCCACGGCTAAACAAACAAACACAACAAGAGTATGGCGCATTATACATCCGTCGACAAACTATTTTACAGCAACCTATAGGAAAGACCTTGTACAACCGTTGACATTGATTTGTGATCTTGAACTTGAAGTTGTGGTAATGAAATGGTTATGTGACACGGTGGTACAAAAGTGTAGGAAGTTTAGTTAAATTATCTTGAGCAGAACAAAAGTTATGTCCCAGACAAGAAAAAGTTTACTGACAAACAGAGACTAAAAAAATAATGTGTCGATGCGTCCATTGGTCAGTCGGTGCATTCGTCTATCGGTGCGACCGTCGGTCAGTGTGACCGTCGGTGCATGGGTACGTCCGTCAGTCGGTGCGTCCGTCGGTCAGTGTGACCGTTGGGCAGTGCGTCCGTCGGTCGGTGCGTCCGTCGGTCGGTGCGTCCGTCGGTCAGTGTGTCCGTCGGTCGGTGCGTCCGTCGGTCGATGTGTCCGTCGGTCGAACGTTGTGTCCGTCAGACGTTGCGTCCGTCAGTCGGTCAGTCGGTCAGTGCGTCGGTCGGTGCGCCGGTTCATCGGTCGGTGCGCCGGTTCGTCGGTCGGTGCGCCGGTTCGTCGGTCGGTGCACCGGTCAGTGCGTCGGTCGGTGCACCAGTCAGTGCGTCGGTACGTTGGTCAGTGTGTCGGTACGTCGGTGCGTCCATCGGTCAGTTCATCGGTCAGTGCGTCCGTTGGTGCGTTGGTCGATCAGTCAGTCAGTGACTGACACCTCGACAGGTCTCCAGTCAGTCCATCACAGGGGCACAGAGATAAACGAGACAAACAACCATTCACTCTCTCACTCACACCTAGGGACAATTCAGAGTCACCAATCAGCCTAACATGCATGTTTTTGGTCTGTGGGAGGAAACTGAAGTACCCGGAGAAAATACACAAATGCACGGAGAGAACATGCAAACTCCACCCAGAAAGGCCTCCAGCCGGGATTTGAACTGGCGACATGCTCGCTGAAAGGCGACAGCTCTAACAACTGAGCCACCATGCCGCCTTGAACTACCTCGGTTTAGAAAAGTACTTTAAGCCTTGCATCATACAGACACATCCATTAATGTCTACAAGGTTTGCAATTGGTCACCTGTGGACTGGCAACAACCAATCCCATCAAAATATGCCCATTTTAATTCCTGAGCCTCCATCACCCCAGAAGTGTGGGTGTTGAGCTCCTATAAAAAAGGTGTATAAATCAATTTTCATTGGCAAAGGAGCTGCAGCCATAACTGGTACACTGAAGTTGGTGCGCTCAATCTGGATGGTGCTCCTTTAAGCAAAACTGGCACCTATTACATCCGCACTCAGATCTTTGAACCATTTCAGGAAGTTCAAGAAACTAACGTCCCTTCTTATTTTTATTTTTATTCACCGTGTTATCACTGGTGCTGAGCCATTGCAGCTTTAATGCTTTTCCACCTCCCTTCCTTGAGATCACTTGCCACAGTAAGAGTGTGGGCGCTGCTGCAGCATGTTTTTTTTTTAAATTCATTTTCTTTTCTTGGAACTATTTTGACTAAAGCACTCCCACATTATGCCGTAGCCAAAAGCAGACCCCCGTATAGAAATAACTGCCTTTCTTTGCATCAATTATACAACAAAAACATGACTGTTCAGGTTTATCTCATGGATTTCCCACCTCCACCGCTTCTTAATCAACATTCTGAGGGGGCAGGGGGGGCACAGCTGGACCCATCATTATAGCTGCATTAATTAGGAATAGGATTTTCCTCACTTGCATTGTCTCAGAAGATTGGGGGGAAGACAACGGATGGGGGTGGGACATCCAATTAAAGACATACCTGCCATGAGAGGTGGTTATCTCTCACTCTCCCATCGCCTTATCACTTATTCATCACCGACTCCCATATTTTCACACCACTGACAGCAGAGTTTGTTAAAGACGCCACAGCGTTTTCCTTTTTCTCTTATGTTCATATGTTTATTACCTTCACACTAATATTCACTCGGCTTATGGAGTCTGTCGCTCCTTTGGACACGTTTTGTTCTGCCACTCAGGAATCTGACAGTTAATTTCCTGTTGAGCTCCAACCGTAGTAACACACGGTACCACAAAAATGATCAGACAAAGAAATGGCAACCCCCCCCCCCCCAAAGTCCCTTGGATACAATAAAAAAAATAGAACATGAGCCCACCAAGGGAACTGTTCTAGGGGAAACATTGTAAATATACGTTTGTGTTTCCCCTAACGTTATCCAAGGAGGGCGTCCCACCCTGTCAACAGAACCGAGTGCCCTGCCAACAATCCTATCGCCTCGCAATACAGACACGCTAGCTGAGAAGCTACAGATGTGGCATTTGCGTTCCCCCTTCGGTTGACAACTGCTGGCACTAACTTGGTGCTAAACTAGCACACATCACAGACGTGTTTCCGTCTCAACCAACCCGCACCCCAGGCCACAAGAATAATCCCCGCAGAGATGAGCGCCCTGCCAAGGCTAGTACATAATAATATACGCCCATCAACAAATGATTACCGGTATACTTCAACAGCGGAGATGATGAAACGTGTATGTGACACACTGCCTAATGGTGGTATAAATGTGTATGAAGTTTTGTTAAATTATCCTGAGCGTACCAGAAGCTATGGCCTGGACAAGACCTAGTATTGACTTTGGCCTTGATTTGTGACCTTGCCCTTTAAGATGGGGTGAGGAAAAAAGTGAATGCAAGACTCCGTTTAACAATGATGCATATTTAATGAAGTTCTATTTAATTATCTTGAGCAGATTAGAAGTTATGGGCGGGACAAGATAAACTTTACGTACGTACAGACTATACAATAATACCACTTTGGCTATGGCTGCCTTAGAAGAGTTGACAGGGGAGGGTCCCAGAAGCCATCTTATCAGCAAACTGGCTGGTCCACTATGGGAGTGTGCTGCTTGTGGGACTGAGTTTGTTTGTGGCTCTTTGGATTGATGAAGTCCTTTGGATGAAAGATGAAACGTCTCAACAACAAAAAAAGAAACCGTCCAGATGACCTGACTGAACTTTGTTGGATTTTTTTTTACCTGGATTATTGAGCATGAACTTTGATATACAATAATACCTTGGATGTGTGTATAGAAAATACACACACACTCAAGAAGACAGCTTTATGCAGCATACACAACAACTCCATAGGGAACTGCAAACGGTCTTGTGGAAAAGGATGTCTCATTAACTTAGCATTATCTACCTGCACATCTACTCCATCAAACTCTCATTATTGGGATGCAGGGGGTCCAAGTGAGCCAGGCTGAGCCCGTGTCCCATTTAATATGCTCCCCACTGTCACAGGATCCACTAGGAACCATTATTAGTGCCGCTGTCGTCATTAGCCTGCCGCTCTTGCCGTCGCCCCAGCAGCCCCACAAGGAGAGGGTCTGTTAAGCGAGAGCTTCTGCTCGTCCTCATCATTATATCTGAACTATAACAGCATCTGCATTGATATATTTTATTTGTCATGCGCTCATGCACAAAGCAGGTGCTAACGGGAATACTTAAAGGTAATTTATTTGCAAAGGAGAACGACTTCAAGCTTCTTTTCCACGAGAAAAGGTTATGTTTGTCAACCGTCAATGATGACTTGTGATGTGAATCAATGCAGTATTTAAGACAAAACCAAGAAGCTACAATAATAAGTGTAGTTACTAGAATTCTTGTTTATGTAGGAGAGAGAAGGAAGATGTTCACCCCCACACACACACAGTTAACCGAGCTCTAATGAGGCTCTGAATGTAACCGAGATCACAGCTAGCCAAGTGCGGTGGTGTCACCAACCTGACCCGTGCAATTAGCCCTCTGGGAAGGAGGGAAAGAGCAGAAGAGCTAGCTCACATTATCAGACTGTTACGTGCAATGAAATTTCAGTTCAGAGCTAAAACAGCTCAACGTGAGGACAAACTGGCATCACAACTGGCTCTGAAAGAGTGCCACCACTTCTGTTTGTTGCATTGCAACTTCTTCGCGCGCTGCAACTGTGACAACTCTGAAGGTGTGCGAGGTCCTAATAAGCCTTCCTGCTTGGTGCAACAGGCAGTCAGTGGGCGGATGGTTTATCGCCAGGCGTTACAGAGGATGTGAGAAGGCTGTCTGCTGGCGATGTGGGCGTATGCGTGTAAAGAAAGCCTCTTTTTTCCAGAGGGAAGACGAAGAATTGATTAACTCTACGTGTAGCGTGTGTAAAATCACTCGCCTTGAATCTCTTGAACTCGCCATACATTGATTGGGTGGAAGCACACAGAAAGACATGCTAACCCTCAACGCAACACGTGACACACACGGGAAGAGCACAGGAGGATCCGTTCTTTCCAGCAAACACTGTTTAGCTTTCCATCTACCACACACAAGGGATAAAAATCTAAATTAGAAGCCCAAACTTTCAAAATAAACAGGACTTTTTCTGCACCAGCTAAAATAAGACAGTAAAATGGGGTTCTATTATCAGTGGCCCTCACTTTCTTTGTCAAGCCCTCCTCATGTGGAGAATGACAACTGTCCGCACACCCTGCCTTGG